TCTCATTGTAGTTTTGGTTTAGTACATATTTTTTTTTAATTACTTGGGAGGAAGGTTGGGGGGGGATCCCAGGATAGAATGTAAAATGTGACAAAGCAATCTAACTACATTGCAAATGTATGAAACAGTCTCAGGAAAGGAGGGAAAAGGCGCTGACCTAAATAAACAAGTTACTGGAAATCACTGGAGTCTGTAAAACTAAAAAGGTAAATGAAAGTAGATAAGTGCTGAATTCTTGTTGATAAGCTGTACCTCAGGGGGATATGGGTTATTAACAGTTCTGATACTGTTATCGAGGTAAACTGGAATTTAACGATTCAATCAATGGATGGTGGACAGTAGGAGCTAGGTTCCTCAGCATTGAAGTGGTTAGAATGATCCATGTGATGATAGATTAGAGTTGGTTGTTTAGTTTAATATGTGCACAGATAATTATATAAAAAGTATAGATGTGTATAGTGAAGTGAAAGTGTTAGTGTCCGACTTGGCGACCCCATGGACTGTAGCCTGCCAGGCTCCTTGGTCCATGGGATTCTCCAGGCAAGAATACTGGCGTGGGTTGCCATTTCCTGCTTCAGGGCGTCTTCCCAGCCCGGGGATCAAACCCAGGTCTCTTATGTCTCCTGCATTGGCAGGTGGGTTCTTTACCACGGTGCCTGGGAAGCCCAACAGTGAGCATACCTAGTACCTAGATCTTGGATTCTAATGCCATTTGTCCATAAAAGGAGCCGGGGCTCCTTAGAGAAATGACTGATTCTGGGACTGGGGCAGGAAATACGCCAGATGAGCTTCCACCATCTTGCATTGCCAGAAAGTAACAAACAAAAACACACAAATAGAGGTGTATCAGAGTGCCGGGGCAGCCAACTGAAAAATCGCCCAGTGGCTGAATGGGGCATAGCTGAGGAGCAGAAGACATGAACTGGCCTTGAACTGTAACCCGAAGTGGAAAATAAGTAGGCATGAGATGCATGAATCCATGTGGATATAAACAGAGAAGAAGTGTTGTAGCACTTTTGGTCTGTGCTGCTGTCGAATTTGTCCCAGATGGCTTAATATGGTGGTTAGTACAGCACTTTCTGAAGCCACCAAACACCAGGGACGATAGGAATACACTTCTGTAGGAATCCCAGCTCTTTTGATTTAGGGCCTTCTGTGTATTGCTAAAATTTGCCCTTTAATTCATTAATGAACTGGGAAAAGCTGTTATGAACCTAATGACTTCTTAATTATTCTGACATCATTCCGTATTTATCAAGTGCATGTGAGCTAATTTGTATTCAAGAAATGTGTTTAGTACCAAGACAGACTTTATTAGAATTTAATATTTCTGCGGTGGAGTAGTTTCAGGTGATGTCTGAATCCAGAGCATGGCTCCAGGAAGAATGGTCAAAATTAGAGTGGAAGTCCATGGGGAGAAAAGAGGTCCAGGAATTGAAATGTAGAAACAATAAAATAATCACAAATGAGCATAATGTGTGTGAATGTGGTATGCAGGGTCTGTAAACAAGGTTAGACTGAGTCAGAGAGATTAGAGAAAGAACAGTTGAGGAAGTAAAGCTTGAGCTGAAATAGAAAGGCTGAGAAGGAAGGGCACCGCTCTCCAGTTGGAGGGAGTTGCGTGGCACTGTCCGGCCTGGCCAGGGTGGTTGGAGCAGAAAGGAAGAGGTGGGAGACGCAGAGGGAGGGAGAGGTCAGACAGGGTTTTCAGGAAGTTTATCTTCTCGGCTGAAAGGGGAGGACGTTAGTTTACTGAAGGCTAGTGGTACAAGGAAGACTGAGGTCTGTTTTCAGAAAGGCACTTGGCTGCTCATTGGAGTGGTTCTAGGGGTGGGGGCATTTTTCAGAACCATCCAGGTAAATGCAGTCAGCAGATTGTGTGCAGGGGAGGAGCTGACCTTGCTAGTCTTAGAGTCCTGAAGCAACACAAGTATTTTCTTCTTGAACCATCCAGAAAACACTTAACCTTGAAGACTGTGGTTTTAAAGATGTGCACTTCGGTAGTGTGAGGTTGTACTTTGGTCACCACAAAATTTAAGGTAATAAACTTCCTGCCAACAAACCTTATTAGAAATAGGCCCTTTGCTATGATATTACTAGTCTCACCTAAAAATAGTATGCATCCTTTTAATCTTACATCTCGCCTTTTTCCCGGGTCTTTACCTTTTAAAGTTAATTTTAAAATGAAACAAATCCTTTTAACCTTTACAGAATTCTTCTATAGTGTCTTGGTAGAGCATAATGAATATACTAGTCTTGGAGATTTATGATTGTGTAATTCTTTGCAGTTATTTTTGCACAGTAGTAAAACATAGGGGATTTTAATTCAGACATGGATTTAATGCATGATTCTACCAATTTGGGGCAAGTTATATTACCTCCTTAAGAATTTCTTCATTTTTAAAAATGAGGTTAAATTATACCTATTTCACAGATGTTGAATGAGAAAAATCTGTACAAAAGCACCTAATGCTTTGAGAGATTGTTTACCCTCAAATATTAGTTTTATTTTTCTTTTCTCATAGAAGTAACTTAAATAGGAGGTGGGAGTACTTGTGAAGTGATTCCAGAATGCCAGTGTAACTAAATCCTTCCTGTGGGTTCAGGGCTCACCCTGGATCAGGCTTCTTGAATTTAAATCCCAGCACAGATCCTGGTTTGGGACTCTCACTCAGCAGTGAGCCCTGAGTTTCTTCCTTTGGCTTCCTCAAGTGTGAAATGGTAATAAATAGTACCTACTTCATGGGTTGTTTTGAACATGAAATGAGCTAATAAACACAATGCTTTTATTTACTTATTTGCCATCTTCAAAATTGAAGTACAGTTAATTTACATTGTGTCAGATGTGCAGCATGGTGATTCAGTTATACCAGCATATGGATTTTTTAGATTCTTTTCCATCGTAGGTTATTACAAGATATTGAATATAGTTCTCTGGGCTATACAGTAGGTCCTTGTTTATGTTTTATGTATCAGTTCAGTCGCTTAGTTGTGTCCGACTCTCTTCGACCCCATGAACCGCAGCACGCCTGGCCTCCCTGTCCATCACCAACTCTTGGAGTTTTCTCAAACTCATGTCCATTGAGTCGGTAATGTTTTATGTATAGTAGTGTGTATATGTTAATCTCAAACTCCTAATATATCCACCCCAGCCCCATCCCTTTTAGTAACAGTAAGTTCTGTCAATACAGTGCTTTTAGAATGGTGCCTTTCACATAGTATTAAATATATATCATCTATTATCACATACCGTTATTAAAGATACTTTCAGATTCCCTTATCCCTAAGACTTTTGAGCACTTCTCTTCAAAAAAACCAAAACCAAAAATAAAGCCTGGTCGATTTAGTACTCCTGGGTTAATTGGGGTTTTCTTTAGATTTATTTTTAGCTGTCTAAATTCTAAAAATGCTTTTTGTTTACATGACCTTTTCCCAGGAGGCTCAATTATTTGAACATAACTTTACTGTAGAAGATGTTTTGCTGAAACCATAATTTATAAAATTTCAGTTTTTAAAATGATTAGCATATCATTTTGCAGATTTGTGTTATACTTTTCTTCCACTTAGCTGAATGTAAATATTACCTGCATAAGTTAAGACAGTTTATCAGCATCTGTACATTGCCACTTCCGTTTTTATCTTCCTAGCTGAGTTTATCACCTCTCAGTGGTCCCCCGGGCTGAAAAACCTGTGTCCGTAGTATGTATACTAATGGTAATAGACTAGAGTGGCTGAGTTCATTCTGTTTCTTTTAGGCCATGTGACCATGTGCTAATTTGCACTGCAAGTGTACACCCAACTATTTAATGATAGGATATACATTGATAATTTGACAGAGTGTATGGTAAGAAAAGATATGATCTCATTGATGTGTGATGGTTATTGTATAGCCAATATAATTTTTGGCTTAAAAGAAGGGTTTAATTTTAAAACAATCATGTTAAATTTAAGAAGGGGAATTCTGCTACCCGTGAAGGTAGTGGTATAGTCGGACTGAAAGATTAATAACTGTACTGGGTGAAGCATATCTAACTGGAACACCTGAGTAATGACTTAGAGCTTTATTTCTCATCAGCTCTTTCGGGGATTGTGGGGCTTGTCTCATTCACTCTGAGCACTTTCTGAGATGCTTCTTCAGCTTCGTCTTTATTCTGGTGGTTTTATGGGCATATTTGGGCATATTTTCTCTTGCTTACGTGGTTTTGTTCACATGCTAGCTTTCAGGATAATTTGTGTCTTGGGTGGTAGACATAGTGGGGGATGTGATATTAGTGGATAAAATTCTCTGCGATTAGATTGGGGAATAGCTAATATGTAAAAGTTTAAAAGCCATTATCTGATTTCCTAAAGATGTCAGCAATAGTATGATTCATTTTCTTTCTTAAAATGAAAAGACAGCTGGAGGGTAGATATGTTTCTTGGTAGGCCATAATTGACCAAAGAACTTTTATGGATCAGCCTCTGTATAGAATTAATGACCAAAGTATGTCAAAGAACAGCTTTGTAAATTCTTAAAGTAAGAAAGCTGTTTCACCAATTCAATCTAATTATATAAAGCTTCACTTTAAAAAATAATCAATGATACAGATGCTTCTGGTTTAAAAAGTAGGTCATTTGGCAAACGTGTTGTTTAGGAATTTTACAAATTATATGCAAATTTAGGTCTAATAAAATGAATCATATTCTCATCATGTTCTTAAAGTGTATCCTTTTGCCTCTTAAAAATATTGTCTACCTTAAAATATTTTATTTGCAAAAAGGATCACTAGGTTCAGTGTGCTTATTAGATTCTGAAATTTCACCAAAACTTGTAACTGTGTGAAGAGTTCCATGTTTAACTTGTGCTGTTTTGCATATTGGATTGTGATAAGTGTGTTACTAAATTATTTATTCTGATGAGACCAGAAATGTATATATCATTCAAAAGCTGTGTTCGTTCCTGAGTTAAGATTTTCATTTGAATATATGTCTTGATTGTCCTTCTTCCTGTTCTTATGCAGGTCATGGCAAAACCCCAAAAGATGCGGCGTCAGTTCGTGCCACACATCCAATACCAGCAGCCTGTGGGATTTATTATTTTGAAGTAAAAATTGTCAGTAAGGGAAGAGATGGGTAAGTGGAAATTTTGGTGGGAAAAATTTGTTTATGGGTAATTATTTTTGTTTTCATTCATAACCGTTTATGATGTAATTGGAAAATTGTAATTTTTTGGAAAATTTTGGTAATTGAAAGAGTGGAATCTGAATATTGTAGTATAGCAGGTTTTGTCTGGTTCTGCTTAAATACTTGTTGAAGTTAACATTTGAGTTGATAAAATTACCAGATTTTTCTGGTAGGTTTGTTGTTAAAATGGAGAACTGGAATAAAACAATAGAGAGATAATGGCTCATTTCCCATGCCTTTCTTACACTGCCATTTTGTGAATTCCGCTGAGAAGTTAAATCTTCTCCAAGATACTTAACCAAAACCAAAAGGTGATTCACAGGTATTTTGTAGGGGTGGAGACTCAGAATTTTAGGTTTAGGTCAGGGAAATGTATGTTAGTACACTGTCAGCTATTGCAAGGATTAGGATGTAGTTTAGACGGTTCCAGCTGATAATTTCGTGTAGATGCTGGAACTAACTTTTGTGTCATTGCTTTTCAACTTGGGATATGTGGTGTGTACACACAGTATATACGCCACTCTGTTAGGGACTAATAAAAATACAGTAGCTTGGTTCTTACCCCCAAAGTTCCTTAGTCAGTATTTTCAGGTGTAGCGCTTGGACATGATGGACATTTTGAGGACACTCCACAGGGAATTTCGGTGCATCCCTCTCTCTGAATGAGAGCTGATTATATAGACTTATTGGATCGGTTCTGTGGTATTTCCTGATAAATTTATTGTGGTATCAGAGATCCTTTAAAGCATCTCTAGAGTTGTTTGTTCAGCTTCCAAGGTGAAGTTACTAGAATGTGTAACTTTACCTGTATTTGAAGTGAATCATTTCACCCGTTTTAGTGCTTCTTGTGGGTTTACTTGACAAAATAAGTGTGTTCAGTAGATTATTCCTCTTTATTTGCTGAACATCATCAATGGCAACGATATGCAAAGTACAAAGTGAAACCTTGGATTCAGTGGTAACTTTTTAGCTACTTCAGTTTTCCCAGGGTGATCAGGCCAAAGATAAAATCATAGAAGCCAAGAGTAAAGTGATTGAGAGACCCCAGATTGAAATGGCACATAATTGTAACCATTTCTAGTTGTACCGCTGCATACTCTCCCAGTTCTTTTATACTTCACATTTATCATTGGCTCCATAATGCTGGTGTTGCTCAGGATAATTCCCAGAATTCTCTTTCCCTTTAGCTCTACATAACTCTGCATGAGCTTGACCTTATATCTTCATGGCTGCCAGTACTCTGATGAGTCTCAAATCTGCAGCTGAATCTCAGGATATTCCCTTGAGCTCTGGACCAGATGTTTGTATTTGAATGTCCCACAGGCATTTAAATTTAGCTTATTTAAAGTCATTTTCTCAACCGTAGCCTGGCTCATGGTTTCACTATTGCTAGAAACTTGCATATTTCCTGCCTTTAACTTTCTCTGTCCACTTCTACAGTTTCTCCCCAAGTCAGGGGTTGGTCATCTCTCCCCTGAATGCCTGAGACCTCCCAGGTGCCCCTGTTTTGCTCTCACTCCAGTCTATTAACTGTTGTCCATCTTCCTTCTGATACAGAACTGAAGGGTCTGTCCCTCTCTTAAGATTATTTAATACACCAGTTACTTTGAGAATAAAATCTAAAACTTCTTAGCAGGATCCTTCGTGATGTATGACTAATGCCTTGCTAATTTTTTAGTCTCATCTTTTTGTGGCCAGAATTTCTTTCATTTTTGAAACTAGGTATATTTTACACGTAGTAAAACTTAAACTGTTTTAGCGTGCGGGTCTATGAGTTTTGATAGATGTGTACAGTCTTGTAACCATCACCAGAATCAACATATAAAACAATTCCATCACCCACCGACACCCAGATTCCTCCATATCTCTTTTCAGGCAACCTTTCCCTATCTCCAGCCCCTGGCAACCACTGATTTGTTTTCTTCCTTTAGAGTTTGCTGTTTCTAGGATGGTATATACATGGAGTCATGTAGTATAAAGAGTATACTTTATAGTCCGGCATCTTTTAAGTCCGGCATCTTTCACTTCGTATAATGCATGTGAAATTCATCCTTATTATTGTATGTATTGGTAGTTGTTATCGCTGATTGTATGGAGGAACCAACCACAGTGTCCTTACTCTTCTGTTGAAGGACATCAGATTGTTTCCAGTTTTTTGGCAACTAGGAATATAGCCACTAGAAACATTTATGTATAGGTTTTTGCATAAACGTGAGTTTTCACTTAATTTGGGTAAATACACAGGAATGGGATGGCTGGGTTGTTCGTTAAGTGTCTTTTAACTTTATAAGAAACTGCCAAGCTGTTTTGCAGTGTGGCTGTGCTGGCTTCCGTTCCCAGTAGCAGTGTGTGGGGTCCCGGGGGCTGTGCCTCCTCAGAAGCCCTTGGTATTGTCAGCGTTGTTTTGTTTGTCTTTAATTTGCTGCCATTCTAATAGATACCTAGTGGTTTCTTGTGATTTTAACTTTCATTTCCCTAATGACCAATGATGTTGAAGAATCATTAATTCTTATCTGCCCTACATTTTTTTTAAACAAACTTAATAATTCTTTCATTTTAATTTTAAATTAATTACTTGTCAACAACTATGGACATGGTTAAGAAAGGATGTAACATATATACTTAAGAATACTGAATTGACCAGCGGAATTGAATGGAGTGCTTCTTAGGGCAATTCTCATTTTAGCCTTCACCCTGATTAAATTTAAGATCCTTATTTCTCCTCTCTTTCCTGAGCTGGGGGGGCTCAAAGTGGGGTACCCAGTTACTCTCCATTCCCACTTTCCTGCCAGTTGGACTTGGAGAAACAAGCCCCAGAAAACAGAAAGTAGGGTGTTAAACAGAGCCGAACCAATGTAAAGTGACCCAACAGGAGAGGGATGGGACACGCTTTAGGTTAGAAAATGTCATCTAATCACGCTGGGGTCCACTTGCCCAGCACCCAGCAATGCCAGTCTGCCGACACCGGCTTGTGGTGAAGGACAGTGTTTAGTGTGAGCACCAAGCCAGGAGGATGGGCAGCTCATGCCCCAGTGACCCAGACTCCCCAGTGGCTTTCCGGGGAGGTTTTTTAAAGGCAACATTAGAGCTGAGGGCTGCAGGGTATATGATCGGCCTGTGGGCTTTCTTCAGCTGGTGGTGAGATAACAGGGTGATGCTTTGGGATTCTTAATCATCAGCCTCTGGTTCCCGCCTGTCCAGGGTCAGCATGTAGCATAGTCACCATCCACCCCCTGGGAGGGGTGGGGGGGGTCTTAGTTTCCACAGAACAACTCAGAGATACTCTCAGGTTGTTACGTGTATCCCTTGGGGCTCTGAACTAGCAAGCTGTCATTGCTTTTTTTGAATGACCGCTTTTCATTTGTTTCTGCATTCCCTTTCTTCCCTAGTTAGTCACTGCTTGGTCTGCTCTTTGGAACTCAGGAAACACGGAAGGGCTTCCGTACCCGCGAAGGCCTCTCGGGGCCTGCTGGGTTTCTCCCTTTTTCTGATAGGTCTCGGTCTGGAGGGGGAGAGGGGTGAGAGCAGAGAGGGAATCAAGTTTTGGATAGAGCGGTTACCCGTCAACCTGACGAGAAATTAAAAAATGAATGTCTGTCGTCCCTTTCCCCATTGGCCAAGCTTATTAGCTAGTTTATTACTCTTCAGGCCCTGGTTTACAGGTGCTTCTTATGGTGACGCTTTCTCCTTCCCAAAATGAGATCGTGCCTTTATCATGCTTCCTTTCCTTTGAGGGCAGACAAATTAGAGTACCTAGGCTGCTGTAATTGTCACTTATTGATTCAAGGATAAGGGACGATTTTATATTTCTGTATTTCAGTGCTTTATTTTTAGCCAGCCCTCATGAATGAACAAATGGATAGATGAGAAACAGTACCTACCGCCTGTATATTCTTGGCGAAAACCATTGGTTTTTTTGTCTGATTTGTTTATTTCTGGTAATCTTTTTGAGTGCAGTTTTAGGTCCAACTCAATGCTTTTGGGAGCGAAGAACAAACAGTTCATTTATGGAACAAAAGCAAGTCGTGTAGCTTATTTTGGCCAAGTGAGGTCTTTCTGGAGATACATTGAACTGTCATCAAGAGATAAAAGAAGTCCTTCCTAAATTCCTAATGATGTTGTGAAGATGTAACCAGAAAGAGCAGCTGTCAGCTATCTTTCATTTGCAGTGATATATGCTCACCTGAGAGTTTATTATATTTAATTTTGAATTTTTTTTTAAGCAATGTGTTTATCCAAGATAGGGACAGAAAATAAGTATTTGGATCCAATATGGCAGTTTTCTTAAGAGAAATTGTCGTTGTAGCAGGTTTTTTCATAAAGTGGCAGGAGTTGGGTATGAGTTGCTTCTCTGTTTATTTGTAAAATGCATGATTTCTAGGTTGCCTTGGAAAGTTAGGAATATGACTGTGAAGAGTATTACTTGTATTTCTTCATTGCCTAAGAAGTGAGGCTTGAAGGAAGCTTCTTATTGAATAAAACAATATGTTTTGCTTTCTGTCTTGGATTTTCATTTATTTTCAATTTCATTTAAATGTTTATTTTCATTTAAACATAATTTTTTTGTATGTTCAGCAAAGTAAGCTTACTTTTATTAGGACAGAATAACCAGTCTAGATTTTTTAATTTCAAAATGAATTTCTAACATTTTGCAACCAAAAAATTAAATCACATTATCTGCATAAAACCATTTTTTAGGAGACTTATTTAAAGGGTATATATTTACTTTATGTTCTTGTTAATTCTTATTGACTGTCTAGATGAATTTCTAATAGACTTTGTCTCATGAATGTACTTTCAGTTCAGGAATTTCATTCAGGTTTTAAATTATGCATACTAATAGAGGCAGTGGGGATAAAGTTAATTATAAATGTGAGAGATAATAAAATTTTTATTTGGAAATTTTTAGAATAATTTATTATGAGTGTGATATTTTTAGCTCTTCAAAC